GGGGGGGGGGGGGTCAGCAGAGATGGAGAAGCAGCTCTGGCCCCTCCTGCCCTAGGCAGCATCAACCCACCTTGACAGAGATGTGGCCATGGGCCTGGGGAAGGTGGGCTGCCAAGAACCAGTCCCCAGGTAAGGGGCTGCTGACGTTAAAGATGCCTGAAGTGCGGTTGGGCAGTGTCCAGCTGAGGGTCAGTGAGAAAACCCCAGGCACAGCTGTGTCCCCTGGGAAGTGTGTGTGCAGGGGATTGATGACAGGGGGTGCCCCGGACCGGAAATACCTGGGGACCAGAATGAGGAGAGGAAGAAAGCAGACAATGAGGTGGGAGATGGGAAATGGGGAAAAGAAAGGAGAACAGTCACTCATCAGCAGCAAACAGTAGATTCCCTATACTGAAACGTACAACAAACAAAGTGGTTCCAGGCCAGGGGTTGGCACAGAAGGGGTAAAAGTTCAGCTCAGGCACTCGCACAGCCAACAGTAGTCAGGAAGTAATCAGGAAACAGGGCTCTTGGCCCTCACTCGGTCATACTTCAATCTCAACAAGGGTCAGGGGTCAGAGTCAGGAAGTCAATTTTGATATTCATAAAGTCACACTTTAGTTTGGAAAGTGGTCTGGGGTTAGAAGTCAGGGTCAGGAGGTTAACTCAGACACTCACACAGTCACACTTTGGTCTGGGCAGTGGTCCCCAAAGGATCCCCCCTGCTCCTTGAAGATGATGAGGTTCCAAACAGCCAGGAATGTGTCCTCAGGAACATGGAAGTGGAAGAGTTCAGTGCTGGCAAAGGAGCGGAAAGGACTCAGCTTGCGAGGTGAGCAGGTGGAGTAATCCGTCAGGAAGAGGCCTCCTGGGGAGCAGGCAGGAAAAAAAGAAAGGAGCAGGTAGGACAGAGGGCATTTCCGTTAAGCAGCAGGCACACCAGTGGCACCAACTCAACCAACTCTCTTCTCTGAGCCAGGGACTGGGCCTCATGCTGCCTTAACCATCATCTGCTTTATCTTTACAATGATCTTGAAGAAAATGGCCTGTTTTTATAGATGAGGAAACTGAGGCTTAAACCTAGATCTATATAAATCAAAACTCAGGGCCCTTTATATGACCCCACAGCTACCCCTCACTTAGGAGTCATTGTTCTCTTCCCAAGCCTAACACAACAGAGGTGTGGACAGCGAGCATGCGAGTGTGTGTGTTGGCGTGGGCTCTTAGGCCACGGAGCTGGCTGGAATTCACCTGTGGGGCTTGGGAGTCAGCATGAAACTGTGTAACTTCCTTGTTGATTTTCTCCTCCTTTCTGTTCCCCTGTGGTCAGGAGCAGTAAAAACCCTCAGAAGCTTCACAAGAGCTGTCTGTATACTGGCTCAGGGCAGGAGGGGGAAGGGGAAAGTGTGGTGAGTCTGCAAGGGGCCTGCTTGGGTGGCAGAGGCAAGGACAGGAGCTGGCAGGCCACCATGAAAGCCCATGGGAGAGGAGGAAAGGAGAGTCACCAGGTCCTCTAGGATTCAGAATGAGCAGCCAGAGGGCGCTTCCCGGAGGGAGGCCCAGGGAGGCAGTCAATTGGTGACTTAGTGGAATCTCAAACCACTTGGGACTATTCATATTCAGGGCAGAGGGAATGGGGTTCATCTCAAAATGAAATGTCAAGACACCTGATCATGGCTGTTAGGAGCAGAGCCCAGGTGAGCAGGAAAGCCTGGTGTCAGCAGCTATCCTGGTAAACACAAGGGGGCTAAGGCTGCTATAATAGTGAAAATAACCCAATAGCTCAGCTGGATAGAAGAAAGTTCCAGATGGCAGGCAAAGTTCTGGGAAATCTGACTGCTCTGGAGACTTAAGACCAGCCCCAGTGAAGCCCAAAAGCTGCCCCCAGGATAGGTGAGAAGGTTAGGAAATCAGCAGCTTCAGGAGGGGGTGGGTAGGGGAGACCCTGAAGCAGAGTTTTCAGCCAAGTAGGAAATACCCACAGGGCTTACCTAGTCTGACAATCTCCCTCTCTAGAAATGGGAGATATAACTCCAAAAATGAGGTATTTGAAATAACAGAGAGAGAGGCATCTAGGAAAGGGAGGCTGCAGAAGGAGGCAATGTGGGTTAAGTTTGGCCCCACTGAACTGCAGCAACCTCGAGTCACCCTGCAGAGAGGTGGAGGCCAGTGGCCCTAGATTGGCCTGTGCTCATCTCTAAAGGCCATGGTTACACGAAGGACTAGTCTGTCCGGTTCAGACCACATGATCAATCTCAGCTGTCAGCAAGGAAGACCTGCCACCTTGCAAGCTGAGTACTGCCCAGGAACCAGAGGCTCAAAGAGCAGCACTGAGAGAGCAGTGGCAATGTATCCAAGATGGACGTAGGGAAATGAACAAACTGATGGGAAGATAGGTTTCCTAGGGGCCCTGGCTATGACAACTGGAAGGCAGAAAGCCAAGAGCTGAACAGCCTGAATCTATTATCACAAGAAAGCAGGGCTCTGGAGCCCCCTCTGCTGGGATTGGATGGGGGGCTTCTCCTCCCCAAAGCTGGTACCAGGATGGGTCATGGAATGAGCCATTGCTACTGTTAGGAAGAAATCTTGGCCAGGCCCCCAGTGCACACCCTCAGAGAGCTGCTCATGAAAAACAGCTAACAATCTTTGGGAAACAATAGACAGACAAGCACACAGAGCCCTGTGATTCAAAGAAATATGGCATGGCCTGGAGAATTGGGAAACTAGTTGAGCCACTGCAAAAGTGGCCAGGGGCTACAGAGGTCACAGAGGCTGCTAGGAAAAGGGAGTGATCAGTAACTGGTGGTGGGAGGAACCTAGAAGTTCTAAGGGTAGATGCTTGAGAAAGCATTCACAGTCCCATTCACTCCAGGCTTTCATTTGGGGTTTCAACAGAGCCTACAGAGCTATGTCCCAAAGGAAGCATGAGTAAGGCCCCAGGCAAGCGCAGATGACTCTATCCTGGATGCCCTAGTATTTCCAGATGAAGCATGCGTGATTCTCCACCACCACCTGAAACGCACACACGTGCACACACACACACACACACAGGCTAAGGCTGGCCCTGCTAAGGACAGCACTAGGTAGAATCAACGGTCACTTTCTGGAATGGCAAGGCATGCCTGGGTAATGCAAATGTAGTCAGCTGAGCCCAAGGAAAAGACTCAAGGATTGAGGTAGGACCAGGAGACCCAGGAGATACCTTCCATTCCTGAAATGAGATTGAAGCCAACAATAAGCATATATGGAGACCAACTGCACTGCTATGGTCCTGTGACACTGCCAGCCTCTCCTCAAGCAAAACCTATCACCCCCACAGAACACTCCTGCAGGCCAGGCCACAGTTACCAAGGCAGGGACTATCAACAGCACTAAGGGCACCCCTGCCAGCAGTAGGGTCTATTCAGCACTCTTTCCAACTTCATTACAATTCTCCCCAAACCACCTAAACCTGCTTCTGGACAATCATGTTTTTCTGCTTTCTAGAGCTCTGTGGCTGTCCGTTACCCTCCTCCCCTAGCCAGTTCATGCTTGCTCAATGGACTCATGAACAAAGAAGCCACAATGACAAAATGGAAGCTATGAATTGGGCTCAACAGTATGGACTCCCCTCACCCAAACTGAAAAACTGACCTGGCTGGGAACAGATGGATTACTTGTGTTATGAGAGGCATCCAAACAAGGAACTACCCACTGGGAAGGTAACACTTCTATGTTCTGTCTACAGGAGCAGGAAAAGCTAAAGAGAACATGTGTGGTCCACAACATGTACCCTCCCCCTTACACAATAATATAGGGTACTCAGAGGACACACAGGCTCACATGCACCCCACACAACATATATGTGCCTACACGTACCAATGCACAAGCATGTACACATACTTCATATGTCCAGTATTCCCACAGATCCCTCATGTCTGTATACACTCAGACATGTAAGTATCCAGACACCAGTGAGCTTGGACATCTCTGCTGGGGCAGTGACATTTGGCATGTATTGATCTCCTCAAGCTTGTACACTGAACCAGGTCCCCAGAGCTCACTGAAACCCAACCCCTACTCCCATTAGTGCCAAAGGCTCCCTCAGGCGTATCTCCATCTAGAGTGCCACTCACCAGAAGTGGCTGAGGGTTGGGGCCATGAAGACCATAGTCATCTCCTTAGGATGGGATCATATTTATGGCACATCTCCTATGATCAGGACCCCCCTCCTCCTCCCACATTCCACTCATTAGGAAGTTGGACCTCTCCCTGTTCTAGTGGATGGTGGCCCTAGGCTGACAACTGGCAAATGCGGAACAGTTTGTGATGAAGCCCCCTTGTGGGCAGACAGGGGAGAGGATGGGCTGTGCTTGGAGCCTTTCCTCACTTGCATTTGTTCTCCTGTTAGGCATAAATTGCAGTGAAAAAGACCACTACTGTGGGATAGAAATTAGGAAACTTTTCTCTAGCCCCAGTACTGTCATTTACAAGCTGTATGACCTTGCCCAAATTGCTTCCCTGCTGAGCCTCAGTTTCCCCATCTGTAAAATGGCCATCTGAGTTTCAACCCAGCTCTAAAAGTGTCAAGAATTACCCTAGCCAGTTTGGTTCAGTGGTTAGAGTGTTGGCTCCCTGGGACTGAAGGGTCCTGGGTTCGATTCCGGCCAAGGGCAGGTAACTTGGTTGCAGGCTTGATCTCCACCACGTGCAGGAGGCAACCAATAGATGTGTCTCTCTGACATCAATGTTTGTCTCTCCCCCC